ATTGTATTTTACAGTTCTGTCCTGAAGTTTGAAATTATCTGGAAGCACAGAGGGAGACTGAGGTAGCGTCAGTGTTTATTTAAAGAAATTCTGTCTCATGTCAACATCATGGTTAAACCTTTAAAGAAAATTACGTATGTGACTCTCAGTGAGAAAGTTGTGTAACTCCATTTCTCAGCTTGTCAGAGTGAATCATGGTGTCTTGAAGGGGTGCCAGAAGTCTTATCTTGTCCATGTCATTTCTCATATGAATTAGTCTAACTCTGTGTTGATCCCTCTGATGTGTTGTTTCATTGTCAGGCCATAACAGAATACATCTTAGTGGCCTCAGGGAGCAAAAAGTTTTGATCAAATTACCCTTTGTGTGGGATTGTCATGGATTTGCTGTGTAGCAGCTGACCAGCTTAAGTTTCTGCTGCTCACATACAAAGTTTGATGTTGCCATGGCTGTCTTCCTTGGACCAGCTGGGTCTATTTACTTTTTCTCAGACTGGGATTTTGAATGGAGGACCTTCTTTATTATACGGGTGTTTCTGTCTTCCTCTGTCAAATATCTGTTAGGAGGTTTTGCTGTTTCCATCCAGTATCTAGTATATTTGTCCTTCTTTAGTTTTTTAGTGTGTTTTCAACCTAAATGGGTTCTATATATGCTTTAAACAACAAGGTGTGGTTTATTTCTGTTTGGATTCTCAAATACTTGGTTCTCAAACCTGTTCTGAAACTGCTTTGGGAAATAGTCTTCAGGAAAATGGCTTTCTTGAGAGAGTTTGAATCATTATGTATTTACACTTTATATATGCTCACAGTTTACCACATGTTTAGCTTATCTGAAATGGTTAACTGAAGCTTGCTGGCCAATTGTGGGTCCAGCTCTGTGTGGGTTACGCTGCTGAATCTGCTGAGGATTGGGATGTATGTGGAAATAGCTGAAGTGCAGGGCTACTTTATGAACAGGAACTTACTGCTTTTACACATCTTGGTTAGTGAGAGGTGACCAGTGTCAGGCTGAAGAACTTTTGTCTCTTATCTTGCCTGTGTAGCAAAGTGGTTTCTTAACAAAGGCAGTTGCTATCTCCTTCTGACTGGCAGTGAAGAGTTTTTTAATACTTTTTATTTTTGAATAAATTGGGATATACCTTTGTAGGCTAATGTTAGCATTATATAATTCCTGGTACCTCTCTATATAGAGCATTCCTGTTTCTTCCCACTGCTCCATCAGGGCCAGATTTCAATTTAAAAGACTAAAAATAGAAAAAAAGAACATAGAATTATAAAACCCTCCCAAAAAAAGGGAAAAGTAAATAAGGTAAGGCTTCATTTTTGCCTTTTGAGAATGAAGAAGCACTAGATTTGCTGAAGCTCTTAGGGCTTTCTTTGGTTGTTGCTGGCCATTTATCATCAGTGTTGTGATTTATAACAAGATTCTTACGTTGATGAACATTTGAAACTGAGATTCAGGTCAGGCTTTGTCCAAATGGATTTTTCTCTTATTGTTTGTATTTTATATATATTTTTTGAAACACAAACCTTTGTGGGTAGTTCTCAGCCGAAATATATGAGTATTAAAATATGCCTATATCTACAGCGTATTTAGGGTAGATTTTATTCTGTCCAAGTTTTAAGTTGTTGAATTTGTTCCTAGACGATACCTCTCATGAGTGCCACCTCGTGGGCATTTCCCGAATAACCACCATCGTCTCGGTCGTCAAACAGCGATTACCTCTTGTTGAAACTACAAGTAGTTCGAAAACAACATGGGTTTATTAGGTGTTCATAGCAATTACCCTTAGAGAGACATTTTCATAAACCTGTGCACTCTCAGTTGTGATAAAGCAGATTTTTAACCCAGTTAACAGAAAGCAGATGTAGTGATGCTTAGAGTAACAGCAGCACTTAGGAGAGGTTCAGTCTTTCTCAGACATTGAAAAAAAGTGATTACTAAAATTAGTTAATATATTCTTTTCCTAATATTGTTTCCTATGTATGTGTTTTAAATCATATTTATTGGACTGATTAAAACCAAAGGTTGTTGATACAGTTTCTGGCTTTTTTTTTTATTTTTGTAAGGTTATGAAGCAAAATGGATCATCAGAGATATTAAATAAACTTTACGATACAGCAATGGACAAGTTAGAGGGTGTGAAGAAGGATTACGATGCCCTAAGGAAACGGTACAATGAGAAGATTGCAAGTCACAACACAGATCTGAGCCGCCTAGAACAGGCTGAGGAGGAGAACAGACGTCTTCAGAAACAGATCGACATGTTAATGAAGCAAAGGGACACAGCAATTCATTTTCAGCAGCAATATTCATCCTCTCTGAGAAGGTATAATCAACTTTTGATACCTGTGAGGTATCCTGTGATGGCATTAATGATTCTAATGTAGCATCTTATTTTCTTTGTGGTAGGATCACAAATACCTTTCTAATTTTTTTCCTAAAATTTTTATCTCATGTATGTTACCTTGGTATGATGAGCAAGCATCTGTTTATATACAATTTTCCAGAAGGTCCTAGATAGTGTGATGGGAATGTTTATTTGGAGAAATACTGCATGTTCTTGAGAAAAGGATTTCCCTCTTAGGGTTTTGAAATTGTATGAGAATTTTAACCTTTGTTCAGCTCATGTGGGAAAGGGACACTCTGCTTTCTAAGCCATGTTTATTCTTAGCTGTAAACACTGGTGTCAAATATAGCCAGTTTTGTTAAACCTCAGACTTAGTGTTCTGAACAAACTCCTCACTGCATGGTGAGCCCATAAACATATATATCCTTATGTAAATACTAAGAGCAAGTCAGTAAGAGGATGTAATTTCTAAAAGGTGTGTAACAAATGAAGATGTTCTCAAGGATCAGTTAACTTTTCATGATACTAGAATTGCAGACTCTGCAGACAGAGCTTCAGACTGGCTGCAGAGTTCACTGGATGATGGATGGAAGTTTAGCTTCACTGAGGAGGTGCTGCTGTGAGCAGCATAAGTGCCAAAACAGAAGGGCATGGACACTGTGTCATACCACACTTAATGTCTCTCTCTGCTCCTCCTTGAGACCAAGCCTGTACAGTTAACCACATCGGGTAGAAAGAACTTCAGTATACACAAGGACTCCAAAGAGCATTCATGGGTGTGTTAAGAGTGTTTTCACTGACTGTTAGGGGTGATACACAACTCCCACAGACCAAAGCCAAAACATGCTTTTTCCACGTTCTGAGACTTCTAATGTTTCAAAGAGATGAAATTGAGCATAGATAATAATGTACATATGAAGTTATGTAATTTAAACTGCCATGGATTTCTGAAAGTGATGGAAAGCCTGACATGTACTACAAGAAACCTGCAACCATGCTGGAACATGCAGAAGCTCAACATATTTGTATTATGGCCTTGTGATTTAGGTCTCCTTAAGAGGAAGGTGTGGCGTGATACTGATCAGAGGTTGGTTTGAAGAATTCCATGAAAGTTACTCATGTGTCTGTGAACCAGTGATCCAACTAAATTAATATAACCAAACTCCAGGAATTTTTGTGTTTTATTCAGTTGGCTTTGGGCTGGGACTTACTTTTAATATGTTTGTATTTATAGAAACCTTTATTTGTCCTATACTTATACCCTTTCTTCATAATGAAAACCATACTTCTCAGGTGTGTATACTTTTCAGAATATAAAAACTTAACAAACCTGTAGTTTGAGGATGAACGAGCCACAAATTGTAGTATTGTTTTTTTAAATTAATGACAAATGTAAACACTGTCAAAACAGGTTTTAAAGAGAACAGGATCTCCAATGGTGGCTGAGATTTCATTTTGAATCAAATGGTCTTTGGTCTTAAAAATATACCAGAAAAATCTTCTGCCATTTTTCTTGTATTTATTGTGTTGTCACAGTAACACACAGCATATGAATGCTACCAAGATGGTTTAGTTGGTGAATAGTTTGTAGATTGCAAATTAGCTATGCCACCTATCTAATTCCTATGTGCTACATCTTAACCTCACTTTGCATGTTGGCTATGTCACTTGGACACATCTCTACGTAGTTTGCAACTGTGTTGAAGACAAAGCAGGTAGTCCTGGTTAGGGTTCTTCTCTTCTTCTCTCAGATGTGCTGTTTTTTACTGACATAGAGTTAATTTTCTTCTGTGAGAGAGACATAACAGAGTCTGCCAGAGGTTTGTGGGTACCTGAAATTGGGATAACCCTAAAGGTCCATTAAGTTAGTTTTGGAGTTTCCATCAGTGACATTACCTGTGAATTCTGGAACAAAAATAGAAGCAAGGAAATCTTAGTGTCCAACTGTGGTAAAGCACTGTTGTCAGGAGAATTTTCCTTTCAAACCGAATTGTGAAATTGTGTGTGGAATTATTTTCTTGCCACTTTTCATGATATTTTGTCCATGTAAGCACAAAAGTTACTACTTAAAAATGTAATTAAACTTTTTTATGTACTTTGATCATGCCGTACTTCAGTAATTTGTAGTGATTAAGTACTTACGTTTTTGTCTGTGTTAACTGTCAAAAGTACCTTTTACTGGATGGCTTATGGATGAAAAGTAACAGTAATGTTTGAATTTCTGAATTGTCTTTTTTTAGATCCATGGTGTGAATTTTTGCTATAAACCAACTTTTTAATTCACTTCTATCCTCCTATCCATTACCAACTTCGTGTCATATTTGAGCATATGGAAGTTCTGTTTTTTCCAATCTCTACATTTGTTTCCCTTTTTCCCACATTCCTGAGTGTGTGTGGTGGGAGAAGGAATTAACTTCCAAGATCAGCACAGCTCAATGCAGTAAATCAAGTTAAGCTTGTGCTATTAAATAATTACATGGTTTTTCATACCTTTTAAAATAAATTGTTAGAAATGTACTTTTAATAATTAAACTAGATTGTTTCTAATAATTTTTAAGTTTCAGTTCCTTAAAGAGGTTCTCTAATACTCCTGAAGGTTCATGAATATTCCTAAAGCAACTATTATTTTGCAGCACAGAGAATATATTTTCTAAGAAGTCCTTTGTGGTTATGTTTTACCAATGGATACATTTGGTTGTCCAACCAGATCCTTACTGTATGAAAAAGGAAAGTGAGGAACAAATGTCTTACTGATGTTTCTGCTTGGTTTTAGGTTTGAATCGGTACAACAGGAACTAAGCAATGCCACAGCACAAAACAAAGAGTTGCAGAGGGAGATGGAGCGATTACAGTCAGAGGTGACAAGGTTCAAAACAATGCAGCTGAAGGCAGCAAAAGATGCAGAAAAATACAAGGAAGAAAGGGATTCAGTTTTCAATGAATACCGCCTCATAATGAGTGAGAGAGATCAAGTAATCAAAGAGGTGGATAAGCTTCAAACGGAACTGGAGCTTGCAGAGTCCAAACTGAAGAACACTTCTTCTGAGAAGCGAGTGGCCAGTGAAGAGATGGAAGCTTTAAGACAGGTACTAACCTATTGTTTCTATGGGGGAAATGAATATACATTGTTGGTGCTAGAACCAGAAATGTATGACAGATTAATGGAAAATAGGAATGCACTGCAAAGAGGCAGTTCTGTTCTGATGTTTTCCTATAGCAGTCCTTTTTACTGTCACTTTATTAAGCATTCATGTTTGAATAGAATACCTGCCAGCTGAAATTTGCTGTTCACTTGACGTAATTCTGTTCTGCTTATTATAAATCCTTTTTTTTTGCTGTGTTAATCTTCTATGCCTTCTCAAGAAATGCTCTCTGTAACAATATAGCTCTAAATATTCATTATTTCTGACTTCTAGCCTCTACAGGAACCATTGGATACAGTCTACTGTGACTTAAGACGGTACATGATCATGATCAAGTCATCTCAAATATTTATGCAAAGCCTGTGCTGACATGCATGTTCTTACTCATTTGCCTTTGAGTTAAAGAGGATGTTTTGAAGACTTTTCTCTAGAATTCAGGCATGCCTAAAAGTGTGTGAAACCAGAACTCTGTATTTTTCAGCAATATGTTCTTGAAATGCTTATATCACAACCATGTTAGAATGATGCTGTTAAGATTTCCAGAACACAATTTGCTGCTCGGTTTCATTTCAGCTGACATGCATTCACTTGACCCTTTGGTTTACAAATACTTAATTTAGCATGAAATAGATACAAGCAAATGTATTCCATTGCCTATAAATCTCATTTTACTCTTTTCACAGCAATACATCTGAACAAAATACCCTTTCCAAAATATTCGGGTGTGGAGCTTTTTTTAAAATAACACCATGTTGAGGGACACAGTGTACACTGTGACATTCAGCATCAGAGCTTTTAAATATAACTAAATTCTGTTTTTAAGAATTCATGTTTTTCACCCCTCCATATTTGTCAGCTAAGTAATTTAGCTTGTACAGTGAGTGTGATTTTAATACATGTTTCATACCTTTTCTACTTTCATCAAAGCCATTAAGCCAATAGAAATGTCTGTTGATTTCCGTGGGATCAAGGTGGGTAATAAGGAATACTCATGGAAATAGCCTCAGTTAGTCATTCTGATCCAATTTCTTATATCTGTCCTTGTGGCACTATGGAGTAATATGCCAAAGTGTTTTAAGAGCAGGGAATTAACATTTTAAATACATGGTATTCCCTCCTGCCTTGATGACTTGAAGGGGTTTTTGAATGAGAAACACAGCCTAGGGCTGGTGGCTCCAGTGCTGGCAGCACAGAGACATGCATTTTTCTTCACCCCCAGAACTGGCCTATGAGAAAGCAGAAATAACTGCTTCTACTGTGTTTTAAAAGGTGTAAAATAGCAGTACTGTGAGTTGTCTTTTTGTTCCCGTTTTACTTTCCTGTAGCTGTGACTCTTCTGCTTGTGAGGAGGTATGTTCTTGTGTCACATAGTACTGGCTTGCTGCAGCTGCCTTCAGTGCATAAGGGATTTTCTAGTTCTGACAAGGAAAATGTTTGAAACATCGAAAAAATGTATCAATCAAGTGACTCATGGGGACATGTTTCAGGATACTGTTTCAAGTGAATGTAAGTGGGATTATCCTGTCAGTGAATAGTTGGTTTGGTGCTCTCCAAAAACTCAATATAGAGCTCCTCACTTTCCTTGTGATGTATAGTAGCTTTAAATGCTCTCTTAAGGTATTGCCTGTTGACTGGTTGAAACAGCACTGAATCCATTTAGGTAATTTTAAGTGTAGTTTCTTTCCTGAAGCTTGTGTTTGCTAGTGTACTTTTTGTGTCCCAAAGAAATTGTAAAGCAACTGAAATGGAGAAGAGGTTGGGTTTTAAGCACTGTAGCTGAGCAGCTACTGATGAGGTCAGTCAGTCAATTTTCTGGTTAGATATTTAAGCTGATTTGGTCACACATGCATGAACTCAGTGGGTTAATAGACATCCAAAATGTGCTTGTTTTCTGGCATTTATAGAAGAAATCTTAGGTTTTTGCACTAATGGACTGGTTTGGATCAAGTTCTTATGAATTCAGCCACTCAAAGCTAGGGATTAGATGTTATAGATTTCCTCTCTGCTTTCCCCAGTGATATTTTGTGTTTAGCATAATCTTTTGCTCTGGCAAATATTTAAAATATTTCATCTCAGTGGTAGTCAGCTTTCCCCTCTGTTTAACAGACATGCTGTATTTTGTCCTTATTATGTTATATTCAGATGTGAGAGATTCCTTAAAACATAAAAATTCTTCACAAATTCAGAGTAATTTTTCAAACAGAAGCTGTTCTAGTCAGTGCCAAATAGCACATCTCCCTGTGCTGTCATATTGTAATTTTGTGCATATGTCATAGGGAAAAGACAGAGGTGAAATTTTACCACTGACCACTGGAGGCAATGGCTGCTCTTATTCAGATAGTTTATATGAGCATTCTGGAAAAACTGTGGTAATATGTACTTTTTTCCAGTCACCTGAAAGAACTGTAAATTCTTGTTTAATGAAGGGCTTCCTGAGAACTTACCCTCTGCCTTGATGACTTTCATCTCAGCTACTTGCAGGAAAAGATTTTAATATTTTTGTGTAGGCTTTATTTCAGTGCACATTTTATACAAACTATAGTTGAACTGCAAAAATGCTGTTTCCAGTACTGAAACTTGTCTGCAGCAACAGATGATTCAGGGATTTCTGTCTTCAGAGGTACTGAACAAGGAAAGTGTTGAAAACACTTGAGCACTCTGATAACTGGCATTCACTGATTTGCTTAAAGTTCACAGTGAGTCATTGATTCTAGTGCTTGTCTGTTACTCTACAGCAAAAATAAGTCTCTTAATATCATTGCAGAACTGTTTTAATAGTCTGACTAGCCCTAATTAGATGCATCTCAAAAACAAAATGCAATTTTTGTCTGTGCTTTAAATACTCAATTTTCATTCCTTGTGAATTGTTAGTGGTAAATAGAATCTTTCTATCCTGAAGTATTTGGGCCCTTTCCTCCTTTTGCTTTTGAGATGTCAGCTGTTTCTGGTGATTTTTTTGAGATCAAAACATCAGTAGTTTCCAGCTAGGAGTGCCTATGTGTAGCAGGACTTCTTTGTAGCCATTGACTGAATGCCCTCTAGAGCTGAACCATCTGAATATTTAGTGGCATGGAATTGAATTGTTTCAATTCCTCATTCTTCCAATAGTAAGTATAGCTTAAACTGTTTTAAAAGGACAGATTCTATTTTAGAACACTTCTATGTTTGCCTTATCTTTTTTATTATGATGCTGTTGAATTCCACATTTAGTTAGATGGACTGTCATTCTGCTTTATGGAAAATTGTAGTTTTACCTTTGAACATTCTGTAGCACATTGATATCTTGGTGTGACTTTGTGCCTTTAAAACTTCTGAGGAAGCTTTTAAGATGCTTGTGTAGCTGAGTTGTCTATATTATTTCAGTCCTGTAAAATCAAGGCAGTTGCTTAAAAATATTTTCAATACGTTCTTACCCTTTGCCATATTTAAAGCTTTTTCTTAAAACACCAAGTCTATCTGTTTAATGATCTGCCATCATTTAGGTTCCTCAAAACTGCTCCCAGAATCTTGCTTACTTTTTACATAGCACTGGGCTAATGTGGTGGTGTGAGAGCTTTAATACTAGATTTAATATTCTTTGCATACAAGTAAGTATCATCAATGTGATCTGCTTCCATTTTTCAGAACATTAGTGATAAACTCTCTAGGCTTTTAAGGTGTCATGATGTGTGTATCCAGTTGAAAAGATAAACCATTTCCTTCTGTATTTAACCTACTGCAAATAATGGATCTTGTTTTAGGAGCTAAACTCAGCTCTAGTGGAAAGAGATCGAGCAATTTGTGAGAGGAATGAGTTACTGGAAAAATACTGTCATGAAGTGAAGGACAAAGCTGAGGCCCAGAAGGAACTTGACCAAGCTTGCAAGGATATAGAGACAGTGAAGGAAGAAAGAGATGTTGCCAGGAAAGAGAGAACAGAAGCTATTATCCAGAGAGACCATCTACTAAGGGAATATTATCAAGCCCGTCAGGTATTGCAAGTCTTCACTAATACCTTTTTCTTCAAAGGGTCAGTAATTTGCAAGAGGCTAGTTAAAGGACTGGGCACGTTGGCTGTCTTCCCCCTTTTCCTCAAGTCACTCTTAACTTATCTGCATGTGAATGCACACATGTTCTTCAAGACATAGTGACAGAACTTCTTGTTGAAAGAAATCCAGTTGTGCTTCATATTAAGCTTCTGTTTGAAAAAGTTTAATTTTTCAACCAAATTATAAGTGTAGTGGGATTCATTAGTTTTATTTATATTCTTGAAATTAACCACACACAGTTGTTTGCAAGCCCACAGCCTTCAGTGCTTGTGGTGGGCCATGCTGTTGTATTTGGCTTGTATCATTGTGCTGCAAGCTTGGAGTTTTCTCTGTGTATTTGTCTTATGTTGTTACCATCTCTCATGTTCCAAGTAGAGAATGGTAGAGGAACAAGTTAATTTAAGAAGAAAGTAATTTTTATCTAAACCAAACATTAAACCCAAACTTTCTTTGAATTCCATTGCTCTGCTTTGGAATTAAGAGACCTGTGTGAAAGCCAACTCTGTTTTGTGAATGTCTATGTCGAGTTGTCCCAGGGTATATAACAGGTGTTAATACAGGAAATGTGTGTTGTAACTGCATATAGTAGTGTATCTGATTTAAAAGTATATTTGAAGGGGTTTTTCAGTCTGTTAAGCAGAACAAGATAGAAGCATAGGATGTGATGTTGTTTTGAAGTGTGGAGTCCAGTTCATGGGTTTGCACAAATTTGTGTGCTGCTCAATGAAGTGTATTACAGCATATTTTATCTTCTCTCTCCACTGTGAAGTTGCTGTTAAGATAAAAAACTTTTTTCATGAAAACATAAGAACTAAATACATCAAGCAACATGCATATAGGAAAAGCTGTTTGTGCATACATACCTAAAAATTGTGCCTAAAATGCTTATCTGTGTTTCTTAATTCCTAGATACAAGATTCTGCTACCCTAGACATAGAAAGAGCAAACAAAGAAATCGAAATGCTTCGGAAACAATATGAAGCAATGTCACAAGAACTAAAGGAAGCTGTGCAGGAAGCAGAAGTTGCCAAGTGTAGGAGAGACTGGGCCTTTCAAGAGCGGGATAAGATTGTTGCAGAAAGGGAAAGTATACGGTAAACCAATACTAGATGATACCCAAGGGATCTTTGTAACACCTTGTGTGCAGTTGATGCAGTTCTATGACTTGATGGATTTTGCCAGCACTTTCTCTGCATTAGCTGTTACAGGGTAAATTTTTTTAAAAGTTGAGGGCACCTTACAAGGTCCTATCTTTGTCTGTGCTTTCATAACCATAATATGTCTCTTGTAAATACCATGGAGTCTCTAACAGCACTGCTATGTAGGAACAAGAAATTGTGCATTCTTGTAGGCAGGCTCTACCTAATCCTACTATATAGTCCTGCAAATAATTCTTTACCTGTGGGGATATTTGCAAAAAAAAAGCAAACACTACATTAACATTTTAGTTGCTGTTAAAAATATGTAAAGGACTAAGGGAAAATATATATATCAGATATTTTTTCTGCTAGTTTAGTGATAAGTAGCAATAAAGTTCTGAAAGGGCTGAAGAAAGTTTCTGTTATCTTGGCAAGCCTTTCCTTAAGACCTAGCATATGTAATTTTCTTCCTCCTTATACCATTGGGGTTTTTTTGAGAGAGTTAACTTTTGAAACTGCTCTTTTAAGTTTAGCATTAACTATACAATGTGGTAAAAACAGTTTGTTGCTTCAATAGGGTTTATGTAACTGTAAATCTAATTTTTTTTCTTTTGAAGAACGCTGTGTGACAACTTAAGGAGGGAGAGAGATCGGGCTGTGAGCGACTTGGCTGAAGCTCTTCGCAATCTGGATGACATGAGAAAGCAGAAAAATGATGCTGTTCGTGAACTGAAGGAACTGAAGTATGTTAGAGAAATGGGTGGATTTAGCTGCATTTCTAAGTGCACCATATGTTGTTACAGCTGTGGACAGCAGGTGTTCATGATATTGTAGGCATTGCCTGTATTGTTAGTTACTGTGAAAATAACTAGGGTGGGCAGGATCCTAAGTTTCACTACTTTAACCTTTTTAATCATACTAATGAGATGCATAGCCTAAGCTTTATACTATGGAGATACACTTCAGCAACATGGAATTCTTTCATTGAAGTCAGATTAACTGCAATTTAGTTCCTCCCAATTGTATTCTCACTGGTTTATGACTGCAAGATTGTGCATCATAGGTCATCTCACTGGGTTGTGGAAGAGGTTTTGCCATTGATATTTATCATGCCCCACTTGTCCAAAGCACACTGATGCAGCTCATCTGAGGGTAAATTTAAATGCATTTAAATTTAATGCACAAAACAATATTGCAAAATTGTGAGTCTTGGGAGATGTTAGAAACCTAGCTGTGCACAAAACAATATTGCAAAATTGTGAGATTGTTAGGACAATATATAGAAATGGAAAGTCAATTTGATAGCAGCCCAAGAATATTGGAAGAACAGACGTATTGGGCAAAATTTTGGTACAGCTTGGAATTTTGATTTAGAGACAAATATAAGATCTATCACAATGATAAAATTATTTGTCAGTTTATTTAAAAGGGGATTTTCTGTGTCTGTAAGTAATTATTTTCTTTGCTTAGAGAGAAGATGGAGAATCAATTGGAAAAGGAGGCCAGATTTCGTCAGTTGATGGCCCATAGTTCCCATGACTCAGCCATAGACACAGATTCTCTGGAATGGGAAACAGAAGTGGTAGAATTTGAAAAAGACAGAGTAAGTAAAAAACACAAACTGCCTTGTCTTGTGTATTGAACAGCTCTGAAACCAATTATAACTTTTTAATATTAGGTATGATTAAAAATCTTACACTCTTCTACAGTTTTCTGCTCTTACAGGCAACATCACTCTAACTATTTTATGAATAGATTTTATCTTTTATGTGATGTTATTTCTCCTACTTCTGCTCAGATAACACTTGTTAGAAATTTTCAAGTATTGGAAGTATTTATTCATGGTGAACATGTATTTTTAGGGCAAGATTACCCTTTGTCTTGAAAATCTGGGATGAAAGAGGTTGTGAATCTCTTGCTTGTCTGCAGAGGAAGTTAAATTCCTCTTCCATTTTGGTTTATTAAATAAAGTTCTTATGTTTAGCTTTCCAGATTACATCTACTTCCATTTGTGATCCTAGTAGTACTTTTCTCCATCTAATTTTACTTTTCTGCTTTGTAGTCTAGAATTTTTATTTTGCTGCTTTGTACACAAGTTTTGTATGCTATTCTGTCTGAAAGTTTTGGTTGGCACTTCACATTGTTAATAGTAAGTTTTTTAATATGTAGAACACAGAGATAATCTTCCAGATTGTGATTCATTTATAACAGCTGCTGTATATATCAGAATTTCTTTGCCATTCATGAATGACAAAGCTTGTGATTAAATGCTGTTAAATTAAATCCCTTTTATTTTACTGCAATATTTGTGGTGATCTTTTCCTATGCTCCTCCAGTCTGTCTGTGTTCTGACAGTGCATTCCAACCAAATCACTAATGCATTTCTTTTTTGACACTAAAAGTATTACTCAGTATTACTATGTTTTGAAATATGCATTGAAAAGACAATATGACCCACGTACCAGTGCTGATCCATCAGAGCCACCATCTGTAAATTCTTTGAGATAATAATTCCCCTTTGAGTACCAGTGCTGATCCATCAGACCCACCATCTGCAAATTCTTTGAGATAATAATTCCCCTTTCACCACAATTCTTCATCTTTTCTGACTAACTCCATCACTGAGTTTTGTTCCTTGCCATATTCTCTATTTTAACTGATTACTAATAATTTTGCTTTTCCATTGTCTGTAAAATTAGTTAGAAAGTCTAGCATATGATGTAGGTGAGGTAAACAACATTGCAGCCTGATGAATTTTCCATTCATGTGCAGTTATTTAATTATTATTTCAAAGGTTGCTCTAAATGTTTGCATCACTGAGATCATACACCTCATCATTTGTATGTGTTTCCCTTTCTTAAACCTAGAGATTACACTTGCTGCTATCAAACATCATAATAATATTGTGCCAACCTTGATTAGATATATGGAAAAAATCTTTGACCTACTGACATTTGAAAACCAGGACTGAGATTATAGAATTCAATACATTTAAATCCTTTTATTTTTGCCTAAGCTTCACCTGTCTGCTTAAGCTCATATTCTACATAATCATTCAGCTCAAAACTGAGAGAAATAATATTCACTTTTCAGCTCTGATGCTGTGCAATAATACTGTGATCTCTACTTGATCTTTATTATGGCAGCCTAATGCTCTTCTGTGTGGTATTTTTTTTTTGTATAGAACATTTGGAAGAATCATAAGGATTTTAGTATATTTTTGTCAGGTTTAGCTGAGTTTATTTTCTGGTAAGTATTCATGGGTTTGCATGCTTTATTTTCAGCTTTTATCAGGCATCTTTTGCACTCCCTGAAGACTTTATATTCTTCTGATTTTGAGGGGATTTGTTGAACCATGCTTACACATCTGATTTAGGCTCTACCTAGTTTTTTTATGTTAGATATTAAATTTCAAACATCGTTACCCTTCAGTATGCTGAAATGGTTAGTCCAGTAGATTTCAAGTAGAGTTCTCTAATTTTTAGAAGTGTATTATTTAACACTGAAAATAGCAATAATAAATCACTTTGTGGTCATTTGGTCATGATTTTTTGGGGGACACACACACACCCCATTTTTTTCCCTTACAGGAACCTTGCCATTTAGCAAAGCAAACACTACATTAGAATTTCCCCATTTGGTTGTGTGACTGGTCTGTTAAAGATCTTTATTGCTTTTCACATCGAGAATGATCTGGTTTGGACCAGGTTTCATAGACTATTATATCTAAATCTGTACTTAGAAATGGTCCCCCATAATGTTAGAGCTTTCTTTACTGTTTACTTCTGGTCTCTGGCTGTATCAAAGTGAAGGTCTCTCTGATTCATCACTAAGATACAATACTGTTTCCTTACCTTCACGATTGTTTTTACCCCATTTTGCCCATTCTTGGGGAACATGTCATTTTTCTCTCATTACACATCCAGCATCGTACGTTAAAATTGTTTATATGAGTTTGAATGTGCTTTCTCATGGGCTCTTCCATTCCTCTTTGGTGAAGTTCCCTGTCTGTTATTTCAGCCTTCATCTGAGCAAGACAGACCATTCTAATGCCAGAGGATGTCTAATAACTAGTGAAATTGGGAGTTTATATATTGACTTTAAAAAAAATGAAAGCTTGGCTACTACAGAAACCGTGTAAATACAAGTGCATAGTGTAAACAAGCAATAATGCCCCTTTCTAACATACAGTGTCTGCCAGTGCAGTTGAATCACTTGTTAATAATATTTATTAGGATGACATGGACTTGAAAGCACTTGGTTTTGATGTGGCAGAAGGTGTGAATGAACCATACCTCCCTGGAGACTGTGGGATCTTCGTTACCAAAGTAGACAAAGGAAGTATTGCTGATGGTCGGTTAAGGTAGGGTTTGACTTTGGAAAGCACTTATCTTTGTTGGTCATAATAAAGTAAATATGAGCATATTGTAAATTTTCTTCAGTATTTCCCATTTTTTAAAATTCATTTTTAGTTGTTGTTGCTTATGTGCATATTATTAATGTTTTGGACATCACACTCAGAAGGCCAATGCTTAAAAGCATTACATAAATTAAACACTGTTTGACTCATCACTTAAAACTCAACAGGATTTGAAATATTCTTGGTTTTACTGTGTCTCACCTTCTCCATTATTATCTCCTCAAATTTAGTTCTATTTATTTAAATTTTGGGAAAGACATAGGGGTAAGTTATTGAGGGAGTACATGAGCAAAGGGGAGTAGAGCAAGGGCTCACTTGAAACCATCTCCTGTTGTTAGTGTCGATAGAAGGTTTTTTAATAACTCTTCTCAGTCCAAAGAAATGCTTTAATGAAGAACTAGTCATTAGTGATTTGAGGGTATACATTTCCTAGTAAAGTGCAGACTAGGAATCCTGATTTTCATTTCGCTGCTATTTAATGCTTTTTCAGGAATGGAGAGCTCCAGGTAATGAAGGTTTAGTTTATTGAGATCAGCTCTGTTGCATCCCTTTTCCTAGAGTGTTTTTTATGTGCTGTGTCCAGCAAAGTGTGCTTAGAACACTGCCCTGCTTCTTTCTGTTTGTCTACCAGAGTGAATGATTGGTTGCTGAAGATAAACGATGTGGACCTTACTAATAAGGATAAAAAGCAAGTTATAAAAGCTGTTCTAAATGGAGGAGGTGTTATTAATATGGTGGTTCGAAGAAGGAAGTCGTTAGGTGGGCGAGTGATAACACCTCTTCACATCAATGTTTCCGGGCATAAAGGTAATGGCTGTAAAGGATATATGTAGATGGTACATGCTTGTTCAGCCAAAAATGTCTTGACACAAAGGTACATGTTCTCTGAGCCTTTGCTTAATCCCACTTAAACTGTTATGCCCTCTGGGATTGGTATTTTCATTAATTGTTTTTAGCAAACTTAAGAATACTATTATTTAGGATAGCTTTACAGGTTTTCTTTTTATTCTTGGCTGAGTTTTGCTTGATTTTCTTTTTTTATTTTTTATTTAATATTTAGCTTTAGTTAGCTGACTGTTACTGGGAGTCTAAATGAGACTGTTAAACATGATCGCCCCAGCTTTGTATGATTATATTAAATCTTGGGATATTCAAAATCCATGTTTTCCTCCACTGTTTAATTATTTCTTTAAAAGAGTTTTCAGAAATTAAAATTCAATTGGTTTGGTAGTCATATTTCTTTCTTGTGCAGGCAGCTCAGGCATGCCATTTGAGCAAGATACTTGAATTGCAGGAGTAAATTCTCTTTTGTTTTGTGCATTTCAGATAGTGGGGTCAATCTGGAAAATGGAGTATTTGTTGCTGCTGTTGTGCCAGGAAGCCCAGCTGCCAAAGAGGGTTCTCTTGCTGTGGGAGATAGAATAATTGCTGTAAGTCTTAAGAATGCATTTGCCTTTTTTTATGTTTTATTTATTTTGAAGCGTTATAATTGATGCTGCTCATGGTGCCAAACATTCCAAATACTGTTTTATGTTTGTGTTATTAAGTCATGCATTATTAAGTATGCTGAGTGGGTAAGAAAATGTGCAGGTTATTTCCTATGCTTGCTTCATATGACAGTTTTTGACAGAAGCACTAACTTAGTTTTTGCACTTGGCTATAATGATATTTCTGGTTCTTGTATTGACTAGGAAGGGTCAGTTCCAAAAACACATCCCTTCATTGGATGAAAGGTTTCTTGTCTTATAAATTCTGGTATCACCTATGTCATTCATTCTGGGGGGGAAGTCTGTCCCGATGTGCATTTGCAGCCTTAAACAATTGGTGTGATTTATACACTTGTGAAAGGGAAGATGGTTAAGGTTGGTGTACAGCTGCACAGAGGCTATTGGAATGAACTACTGTTGTTAGACTGTACCTCTGGCAGGAACAGCAAATTGTAGTTAGGAATTTTCCATCCTCCACTCAGTTTTGAGTAAAGTGATAAAGTCAACCAGACTTCAGTCGTATATACATATTTAACTCTTGTTTTCCCTGTCTCAGAGATATTCTACCTTAAGATCCTCCCCACCTGCTACCTTTGATTTACAGATGTCTGTTGGTTTTTTTGTGTGTAGATCAATGGCATTGCACTAGATAATAAGTCTCTTACTGAATGTGAAGCTTTGCTACGAAACTGTAGGGATTCCCTTACTCTGTCACTGATGAAGGTGAGTAGGAGAAGCTAAATTTGCACTATCTTCTTGAACTTATACAGAATTATTTCAGTTGTTCAGAGAAGAGCATATGAAAAAATTAATATATCCACATGGGAAAGTGTCTTCTGAAAATAAGACCATCTGGATGCATTTCACTTGTGTTGCACTCACTTGAGTTAATTCCAAAGTAAGGTTCCTGTGGCATCTAGCAGGAGATGAAAGTAACTTTCTGTCTTCTTTCCTGTTTGTTTCCTGGTCACATGACATGACTGCTTCCACAGTTGCATACTGCTTCTTGGTTTTTGCTTCAGAGCTGCATCATTTTTGTACATGCAAGATAAGCTGCCTGCCAACGGAAGAAAGGTTTGCTTTTAGTCAGGAGGGAGTTGTGCAGAAAACTGAACTCTGGCTACCATGAGGATTAAGTACAAGGTTTCCCCTTTCAGGCTTATTTCTATAAAAATATTATTCTATTTTGCTTATTGAGTTTAGAATCCCTTTATGCTGGGCCTGTCATATGGGCTTTGAGAATGATAATTTCAGATCTAGAGAGCTTGAGGTTTTAGGAAAATAAAAAGATTAAATGCTTGAGGGGAATGGATGGTGGAAGATGACTTGTTGACATCACTTATCAGAAGTAGAAGTAGAGTGCAGGTCCCTTTTTTGTCAGTTCAGTGCTTCTGCCACCATGTGGACTTGCCCTTCTGAAATTGTTCTGAAAATGGTAAAAAAAATTTATAGCTTCATTTTATGTAATGTTCTGTGCTTTGTACTGTAAGATTTTAGTAAACCTTTCCCAACTGTATTTATACATATCTCAGTATATATTCAGGTATAGGTGAATCAAGGAGGCTAGGATATGCCTCATTCTAAATCAAATCAGCCACAATAATAAGGTGATCACATGTGTTTTTTGTTTTAGGTTTTTCCTCAGAGTTCATCTTGGAGTGGTCAAAATATATTTGAAAATTTGAAGGATTCAGAAAAAATGTCAAACTGTAGGGTTCATGCATCAGAGATACAGGCCCAAAATAAAAGAAATCTGAAACTCAACAGCTCAACCCAGACTGACATTTTCAATCCAGACATCATGGATGGCAAGAAGGACCAGAGTGATCAGGGCAGCACTTCATTTTGCGACCACAAGACTTTCCCTAATAACACACTACGAGTAGACACTCGTAGGAACACAGTGCACAGTTGCCATAGTAATTCAGAACACAGTCTCAGCTCCTTCAGCCCAGAGACATATGGGGACCAAGGCTATGGAGCTGTTGACTTGGACAACAGGAGACTGCCTTATGAACCTTCAGGAACTGACTGTATAATGGTTGAGACAACATTTGAGAAAGGACATGGAACTAAGCATAGTGGTGGTACCTGGCCAAAAGTCATGGTTAATATCTCGGCAACAGAAACAGAAAAGTTCTCTGTGTACAAAAAGCCAAAACAAAGGAAATCTATCTTTGATCCTGATACTTTCAAAAGACCACCCACTCCTCCCAAACTGGAGTACCTTTCCCCTAATCAAGTGACAGGACATTCACCTCAGCCATCAAAAACTGAAGTGGCTTCAACACCTCCAACCCCTCCTAAGAGAAGTGACTCTATCAAATTTAAACATAAACAGCAGGCAAGCTCTGCATCAGAGTCTACGGTAACAACTGGATCACCACCCACCAGCCCAGCCACTGCCCAAGCTCCAGTTCCCTTGGCACTTAAACAAGACTCTGCTACTCTCAAGGGGCGCAGCAGGAACACTGGGCATTATTATCGGGAGGAGGGAATTGACTGCACTCATCTATCTTCAAGGAAATCCTGTGAAGATGACATTGGCTTTCAAAAAGTTGAAGAGCCAGAGATTAAAAGACCAAGGCCAAAATCAGCTCCTGCTCTGCGGCATAAAATGACCCCTATGCCCATTCCTAATCCAGCACTTCAGGTAGAAGCTTGGTATAATGAAGCACAAAATTAGAAACCTTAAAATGTGTTTTCAGTCTGGTTTTGCATGCCCAGTTCATACCAGAGCAGAAGAAGCACAGCCCATCCTCAGAATCCAGGTCCCCTGAGCTCAGGCTCACTTGGCACTTGCAGTAACAGAAAATAGAAAACCACTTCATGGAGTTGCAGTATTTGACAGGCAGTGGTGGCCACCAAACAGAATGATAGGGTTCTGCTTAGCCCCCACATCTTAGGTTTTAGTGTTGCCTGTTGGAAGATCCAGGCTCAATTTTGTATGTTTTTGACGACATCAAAAAATGTAAATAAAGATGCAAAGCGTCAGTTTTAGAAAAACTGAAAATAGGCTTCTGAAGGTTTACAAAAGTCAGAGTAGTTGCCCAGCTGACTGGACAACTTTAATGGAAAAAGGTGTACCATTCACAGTGGGTTTTTTTGTAAATCTTTTTGTGTGTCTAAATGATTTTGTAAACATTATATGAAATTCATAGGGTGTTAGGCATATTGCACTACAAAGATGGACTGTTTGTGAAAATACGATATAATAATGCAGTTCAAAATCAGCATATAATTTGTTAATTTGTTAAAGTAAACAAAGCTCTTTCTGCTGAGGAGATGGTGGGTCATGTCTTGACAGTAGATGGAAGAAAAAATTTATGTGGTTTAGGAAAAGAACCTATTTAGATGACTGCATTATATAAAGTCACATACTAATGTTGTTTCTGGTCCACTGGCTTAGATTTGCTCAGGTGGCAGACAGAGGTTTATTTTTTTTCTTTCCCAACTACTACCTGAAGTTTGTGAAACTGTTACTTTTGTTTGCATGCAATAAGATGAAGATGATGTAGAATATCATATACCTGGATAACCCACCCTGTTCATGGAGTTTTAGAAGCAATACAGACAGCAGAGTTGAATTGGAAGCAGTGCAGGTTTTGGAGCCATATTCTGCAAAAATGCTGGTATAAGAGAAAAACTGGCAGGGTTTTGTTGTTGTTGGGTTTGTTTGTTTGTTTGTTTTTGGTGGTTTTTTTGGCCTGCTTCTACTGTATTCCTTCTGCCTTCCCTAATGCAGAGCTTTAAGCCTCTGTGTAAGCAGTGCTCAGCAAGAATGAAAACATAGTGGTATTACCAGCACAATCCAAAACATAGTCCATACTAGCTACTAT